CGTTTTGTACGTCGAACCTATTTTAGGACCGACTTAGTACAAATTCAAGCCTCCACTGTGAAACCACTATATAAAACTATTACAACCCGTTGCCCTCCTCCGAAACATACATTTTTTTGCGTTCCACTTGTACTTTTTGAAATGAAATTTGTACACCTTTCAGTATATCTTTCTCTGTGTGTCGAATCCCTTCCAAATGTGTGTGATCATGCCTCACCACGCCTTCTTCTTCTTGGAGGAGCTTATTTTTTTTTTTTTGTTATCCCTACCAATACCCGTTCTTTCAGCCATTCACACAAACTTTATAGATAGATTATTCGCTGCTTTCCTTTTTGTCTCTTGCTTTTCAGAATGTCCTGCGAGTGTCAAATTCTCCAAGCCCTCTTTCCTCATTATGTTCGCTAGAAATTTCAATGCTTTTAAAGCCTCTAAAGTTTTACAAACGAATGTTTCAGAAAACACAGACAGAGACACGGATAGACACACAGACACAAATACACACTAAAAGAAAGAGACAGAATTTTTCTAAAATGAATGGCAGTAATGATTTTGGACAAATGATAGAGCTAAACCTAGTAGCTTTGACAAATATGGGCAAATTTTGTTTATTGTTCTCAATTTCAGCAAAAAAAAAATGAGGTGAGCTGTATGTCTCCAGTTCCCTACAGAATCGTGGATGTTTTGTAAAATGTAATTCATATACGTTGTTTATAATAGGTTAGCCAGAATGTCCTGACTCACTAAGCAAGCGGAATGAAAACAAAAAATCTTGATCTCTGCCTGGTTGAATTTCCAAGGATTACTGCATTTTGAGCTTCTTCCACACAGTCGCACCATCAACACGACAAAGTAAAGAAAGAGTGTCCTGCATTAGTCAATTGGGGTCAAGCTTTGTTTCAGTATGAAAATGCGAAGCCACAAACTGCAAGGTTGTCTAAGGAGAAGTTAAAACAGATGGACAGTGTTGAGATTCTTCCACATCCACCATTCAGTCCCGATGCTGCTCCGAGGGACTATTGTTAGACATTTTCATGACGGTCGTCTTCGAGTATAGAATCCAGAGGTTGGCAGTGAATATTTCGTATGTTAGACATTTTCATGACGGTCGTCTTCGAGTATAGAATCCAGAGGTTGGCAGAGAATTTTTCGGAGACAGTAGGAGAGCGTAGTGCAGGTTCGCAGTGGATATCGCAGCAAAGTAGCAGAGCGTAGTTCTTCCGTCTGTCATGTTCGCCGGACAAATTGCCTCTGGTCCTTCCGGGTAGGAAAACAAAGATGGCCGCCTTTATACACGACGGATACGATCTTCCGCGGCTCCTGATTGGTTAATCTTCTATTGGTAGACTATAAAGGGAAATAAGTCATTCTGACTTGCTCACTAGTTACATAACATATACACAAAAAACTAAAAACTATAGCATATTCCGCTCAATGGCGCACTTTTTCCGCGACCAGCAATCCAAAAATTTTGATGAAGTGAAAGAAGCTTGTTTACAGTTTGTTTTTATTCAAAGAGCCAGCGAACGGGTATCTGGGACACATTCGGTTGCTGGCTGATCACTGGCAGACAATCGTCGAGAATAATGGACTTTATTTTTAAGAATAAATGTTGGTGTTGCTCCATAAAATTTGATTGTTTTCTTTCCGCTTTCTGAGTCAGGATTTTCTGGACAACCTAATAATACAAGTTTCTTTTCTTTTAGTCTACGAGGAAGCAGGATAGTTGGTTAAAAGGAAACTGTTAAGCGTATGACGAGAGGATGGAAACTATGAAACAGAAATTCGAAAGCGCATTGGGATAGCGAAAGATGCCTCCCAAAAGCTGTGCAAAATATTAAGAAATAGAAAAAATATCGTTAGAAAAAGAGAAGAAAAAAGTACTGACTGTTATATACTTTAAGTTCTCCTCTGTGGTACTGAATGCTGGATAATCTCCTCACAAAGAAAAGAGAGACAGAAATGTGGTTCTACAGAAGGATGCTGAGAATAACATGGACCGAACATGTGAGCAACGATGAAGTTCTACAGATAATAGCAACAAAAAGGGCATTTATACTTAACATTAGGAAGAGACATTTTAAATTTCTGGGGCACATTATGAGGAAAGAGTGTTTGGAAAATTTGATACACACAGGACACATTGACGGTAAGAGAGCCAGAGGAAAACAATGCATAATATACCTGGCGGGCTTGTGCGAATGGATGTCGGGGCAGGGTTTGGGAGAGATGGAAAATAGGCAAAAGATATTAAGAGCTACAAAAGAGAGGAAGTTGTGGAGGGCCATGATCGCCAACGCTGTGAAGGGACACGGCACATAGAAGAAGAAGAAGAAGAAGAAGAAGAAGAAGAAGAAGAAAAACTGTCTTCTGATACGATCAGAACCAGGCCTGTCACGAAGAGAGGCTGCCCACACCCGAAAACATTTTCCCACCATTTTATTGTGTTAATTCTTACAACCAAAACCATTCATCGAACACGTTTCCAGCAGTTGATACTATTTCACTTTCATTCGTAAATATTAGCCAAGAATAAATAACTATTTTATTGAAAATCATAACGGAAGAAATTGTTCGTTTTTATTTATGACTTTTTCTAATCTTGTAACCGGACAATGTTTACCCCAAACGGAGTTAGAATTCATATAAAATTATTAGCATAAACCATTTTTATTCTCGCCTCAATGACTTAAAAGACGCCTCTCTTCCAAACCCTCTAACGATTGACTTGATTAGAACTTTACATATTCTATTAAGCTATACTTAAAAAAATCTGAATCAGAAAACCAATCTTTTTCTCTTAAAAAATATGAAAAAAAAACCCCAAAAAACAGCGGCTCTATGTTAGATTGCCATAAATTTTTATTTTTCCTTTTCTCTCTTTCGTTTTAATTAAATAAATGACTAACATGAATAAATCAAACGCCAAATATATTCTAAAAAAAAAATGCCGGCAATACATAACGTAACAAACATCTCAACAAAAGGTCATTTTGGGGAGATTTATTTTAGGCTATTAAACTGAGTGCTATTTTTTCTGGCAGCCGGTGATCTGTGATCTATTGTTCAAGAAAATCGAAATAAGTATACTTTTTTGTTGTTATTGCTCTTTTCTTTTGCTATTTAATTGGAGGATTTTTTTTTTTTTCAAAATATGAACGTTCAAATCTGAGATTCTTACAGAGTGGGAAGTTGCTAATATCCTGAAAGTTAGTTCTGGTGAAAATAGGCTCAATGAAGGAGACGAAGAAAGCAGGAAAAGATGTCCAATTTAACTACCGCAAGAGAAGACAATTAACGAACAAAATGTTCAATATACGAGTTTATGCATGCTCGATAAAATGGGGGTCCGCTCTCAATGACGCACTTGTAACTCAAGCTCACTCACGATCTCAAGTAGAACTCGTATATACGATCCATCAAGGGCACCACGACGTGGTGTAATGATTAGAAAGTTTTTCTTGCTAGAGCAATTACGACTGAGTAGTAAGTTCTATCCTCACTGGGTGCTCCATACTTTCGGCCTTGTTCCATATCTAAGCCACGCTTAGAAAATCACTATACGATCCATCGCTAAAAATGCGGAAAAATGGTCGGTACTCTGTACAGCTTTAGAAAGTACTTGGCTGCGTGAAGAATCGTTTTCCATACTACAACCTCTTTCCCATAGGTGAAAATCTGTCAGCGTCTCGCATTTCTATTTGTAAGGCAGATGTTGGGGTGAAGTATTACATTGTCCGGAAAGTTCATGCCGATTTTTAACGGAAATTTAAAAAATAAATTTATTCCATTAAATATTTATTCAACTAAATATGAAATATTATGTTGCACAACTTCTCCATATTTTCTTCAACTTAAAAATTCCATCTTCCCAGAAATTCGGTGGTTTCTCTGTAAAGAACACATTAAGGTGATTTTATGTCATCCAAAGAATTAAAATTTTTACCACTAAGATTATTTTGCAAGGACCTGAATAAATGAAAATCCGAAGGAGCAATATCTTGTGAATTTGGCGGGTGGGGTAACACATCCCAGCCAAGCTGAAACAATTTTTACCGGGGCGCCAAAGAAACACGTCGTCTGGCACTATCCTGATGGAAAACAACACCTTTCCTGTTCGCCAATTGTTGGCGTTTTTCTTGAATTGCTGCCATTAATTCGTCCTGTTGCGAGCGATACTTTTCAGAATCAATTGACTGGTTACTTAGCATAGTATAGGATTCCTTTCCAATCACATCAGATGAATAGCATGCCTTTCTTAAGATGAAGATCTGCTTTTGAGGGGGATAAAATTGGATCATGTTGCTTACCCCAGGATGTCTTTCGCTGAAAATTGTTGTAAACGTTCCATATCCCATCACCCGTCACAATTTGCTTAAAAAGTGTGCATTTTCATTGCGTTTATACAGAAAATTAGATAATATGCAATGCAAAAGATTCTTTTCACTTTCGCCGTAGCGATTTGAGTACCCAAGATTCACTAAGTGCTCATGGATGGTGGATTTTGATAAATTTAGTGTTTCTGCCATTTTCCTTGTGTAATGCGGATTATTCTCAATCAATGTCTCGACTTGGTCATCACCTGTAGTATCTGCCTGACAGTTCTTCTTCAATAAGGCTAAAATCACCAACTGTAAACTGCTTCACTACATTATGTCGACTAAAGCAACCTGCTAAAAAGATATGTGCTAAAGCACATATCTTTTTTTTTAAAGTCAGTAATTAGATAGTGGATCTCTTGGGAAAAGCAGGTACTTTAAGTGAGAGCCTGCAATTTGAAATATATTCCAGCTTTAAATAACCCATATAAGGTTCGTAAGCCACAAAAATAAATGAATTAATTATCAATTGATTCTTGCATTGGGTTAACAATAGCCTATATAAAAATCTTATTTCTCTTTTAAAGTTTGTAGCTTGCTTAACCCATCACAATTTTTACCTGTTGATGGAAAATAATATAGCAACAATTTGAACATTTGTTTCAATATACTCCGATTACAGCCACATCACGTTATAAAACCGGTTTCCGTACGAACACCGAAGTTAAGCAACGTCATGCCTGATCAGTATCTAGATAGGTTATCGCCTAGGAATACCAGGTGTTATAAGCTTGGATGTGTGGGTGATGTAATAAATAATGACTCGTAATTGTCAATCGGAGAGCAGACTCTTAATTTTAGTCAAGCTCGTTATATTTACTTACGTGCATATACCCTTGGGAAAGATATGAGTCCACCTCTTCTCCAACTATCTATGGGTTAATTAGTAAGATTTGTATCAGTAAATCATTATTATCTACCCACCCTCCAAAAAATCTTACAATCTAAAAAAAACTGCAAACCGTAGATAACAAATCAATCAATCAATGAAATACTGATTAACTTCGCAGGCATACCTTTCAGATTTATTTACATTCTCTGGAATATAAATGTATAGGAACAAACTGTCTCCACAAAGTGAGGGATCAGTTTATATATTGGTTGTAATACAGAATTGACACCCCCCACTTTATATCCAAATTACAATTTCTTTTTTTGTTTGTCAAATTCTGATTAGGTATGAATACACCTCTCCCATACTGAGCTATTAGTTAATTAGTAAGACTTGTATCAGTAAAGCATTAATATCTAAAAAAAAAAAAATTCTTATAATCTAAAAATATTTCCAGTAAACTGCAAAAGGTTGATAAGCCGTAGAAAACGGAACAATTCATCCATTAATCAATATAATCAGGGATAAACATGCAGGTAATAATACTGGATTTCAGTAAATAATGATATATGCAGATCTGCACATGCGCAGGTGTGGAAATAAAGGGTGAACAACAGTAACAAAAAAGGTTTGCACGTGAAAGTTTTATATGTATTCTTTCCAGTTATTATATTAATATACAGGAATTTTCAATGGTATCAGTTGATTAATTAACCCTTTGGGCCCTGCGTTCCTGACCAATTTTAACCCTTCTGCCTGATCTCCTGAGTCAAAATTCGCAAATAATTGGTATGTAATGTTTCACGGTGGATATAAATATACAGTGTAACCCTGATATAAGAGACCCGGATATAAGAGAATTTATATACATTAACACAGGCTCTTATTTGGGACCAGAGAAAATCTCTCTTATATCCGGGTTTCTCTTATATCCGGGTCTCTTATATCCGGGTTACACTGTATTAAGCTGTTTCTTGAAGAGTGCAGCTTTGTTGATGGAGTGGATTTGGTGTTTTACTATTTGTAGGAGAGGGTCATTTGTTTTTGTGAGATATGCTTCCAGTCCGTAGTTTCTAATTTAGTTTCTAGTTTAGTTCAAGATGTATTCAAGATGTATTCAAGATGTATTCAAACTGTTCGAGTGCAACTTACATCTCAACAATGAAACTAGTTCAGACCTGCACAGCTAGCAGATCGCCATGTCACCTACACTGTGTCAACCCTTTCTCATTCTCTTCGTATTCCTTTAGTAAGGAGAAAGTTCAAATCAGACAGCTTCTTCTCTAGTACCTTCACCGTGAAAGAAATATCTGCCTAGGGGATGATTTCCCCTTCGATCTTAACTACTTCAAGTTAAGTTCAAAAGTTATCAATTCTTCATATCTTTTAGTATACACTTCTTAAGTCCTCCGTTTATGCCAACACAACTAACTCATTAACTATCCTTTGAGTGGCTCTTGGGCCTTGTATTTGGGTGAAAAGTCGTATAAAATGTAAATGCAACAACAAGAATAACTGCTATAATATGCCAGTTTCTGCACATTCATCTATTTTCTTAACACAGCAAAAATGGCATATCAAAGCGTAATTTCAGATTGCGAAATACTGTTAAATGTTCTAAGTCGGAGAATAAAACATTTTCTTGTCTATTCTGGCTTTTGGTTTGAATTTTTCATTAAGTATATGTACATTGACGAAGGTAGATAACTCCATGTCTATTAACGGTTTAGTGCAGAATTACTTCCCTTGATCAGCCAGCACACCTCAGCATATTGAATAGAAGTTGTCAAAAAGCTTTTAATAATAATAATAATAATAATAATAATAATAATAATAATAAATTGTTAAATTCATAACAGAGAATGAAAAACTGGAATACTGTACCAAACCTAAACCTTTAACATCGAGACCAATCAACATCAAAAGCGAGATCTTCCAAAGAGAGTCATTGTCACCACTACACTTCTGCCATGTTTTAACGCCACTTATCAGCCTACTGAACAATATTAGCTACGGATACAAGTCGCAGAATAGCAAACTGAATCATCTATTCTATATTGAGGATCTTAAAATGTCTGCCAAGGATGACAACCAACAGAAAAACCTACTCACCATTGTCAAAAGTTTCAGCGAAACATTTGAATGGAGTTCAGAATCGATACATATACGAAAGCCATCTTCAAAGGCGGTAAACTAACGAAAACTACAGATTTTGACCTCGATATCAACAACAAGATTAAAGAACTAGACCAAGATGCTACATACAAATACTTAAGAAATAATGAAGGAGACGGAATACAACATTCAATTATGAAGAAAAAGATCCGAAAAGAATATTACAGGAGAATGGGTTTGATACTAGAAAGTGAACTTAACAGGGCCAACCAAATGAAGGCTATCAACACCTTAGCTATACCTGTAGTAGCATACAGCTTCAACATTATTAAACAGAAGTTGGATGACATTAAAGGATTGGGCGCCAAACCCAGAAAAATGCTTACCTAAATGAGGATGCACCATCCGAAATCAGATGTTGATAGGCTGTACGTACCAAGAGATTAAGAAGGCCGAGGTATAATCCAAATTGAACTAAATCTAAAAACTACAACAATCGGATTGGAAGCATATCTCACACAAAACAATGACCCTCTCCTACAAATAGTAAAGCACCAAATCCACTCCATCAACAAAGAAGCTATACTCTTCAAGAAACAGCGTTTAATATACCAGAAATCCTACCAACAAAAACGAAGCGGATACGAGTAAAACAGAAAGCAAAACAAATTAGCCAAATGAAATTACAAAAACACTGAAAGGACAAGGCGTTGCATGGCAAATGCCTAAAAAGGATGAAAGAAGCAAATGTGGACCAACAGAAAAAATAGCAGCCAAGGAGCACCGGGTTGAAAGCTGAGACAGAAGGCCTAATTATTGCCACTCAGCATCAAAGCCTTGCAACCAGATCCCCTTACTGTCACATAATCAATGACGGAACTAACTCTAAATGTAGGTTCTGCGGAAAATATGATGAAACACTCGACCATATTATCTCAGGATGTCCGGAACTTGCAAAAGTTTAATATACCCACAGATATAACAAGGTAGCGACATATATGCAATGTAAGATATACAAGGAGCACAAAATCGAAACCACAGAGAGATGGTATGACCACCAGTCAGACACAGTTACCCAAAATAACGATGTAACTATCCTCTTGGACGTGCCAGTTCAAACTGACAGGGAAATAAAAGCCAACAGACCTGATATTATCATAAAAGACAAGAAATTCAGGAAGTGTTTGCTTATTGACATATCAGTACCATCTGAAAGAAACACCTCCATGAAAATTATTAAGAAATTTTTAATTGGAGATCGAGATTAACAGGATGTGGGAAATTATGTCTGAAACAGTACGAATAGTAATCGGAGCTCTGGGCCTCGTGAGAAAGGGAATAGACAATTTTACTAACAGTGGCCTTGGTAACATCAACATTTTCGCAGAAGATGGCCGTACTAGGAACATCCCATATACTGAGAAAAGTGCTATCAATTAAATGACAATTCACCTATAGGGCTTAAGGACCATAGTTTGGACTCGGTTATGCAGGATACAAAGCAAGAAACAGAACATACACAAATAAAAATAATAATAATAATAATAATAATAATAATAATAAGCTGGGTCCATAGGTTTCATTCTTACTACACAGGACCAATGCTTGCTAACTAGAAATTAGCAAGCACAGTAACTGAAAAATTGTGTTGACCCCCAAATACAGATTCTGTGACAAATATCCAGAAGCAATTGACCATCTTGTATTAGGTTGCACAATTTCAGTACCAACTTATTATAGAACTAGTAATGATAGCATCTGCACTGTAAAATATGCCATTTTTACCTGAAGAAACTGGTATGGAAATCACCCAGGTTACAGAGATAGAACTTGTAACAATTTTATGGACTTAACAATACACAAATACAGAACAATCAATGCTCATCGCCCAGACATCGTGATCAAGGACCCCAAGAACAGAATGTTCTTTCTTATTGACATAGCAGTGCCTGTAGATTGTAATGTATCTTTGAAGATCTTCAAAAAACGGTAAGAAGTTGTAGAGAGCCATGCCCTCTCAAATCCTAAAAAGAAATGGTAAGTCAAAGAAGAAAGACATAAAAGACGAAATACAGGAAAGATATGCAAGGCAAACTGTTAGTGTAACCGGATTAATACAACTTTACTTTTTTAATGTCGTTTCCCTTGAGGACGAAGTCGATCACGGTTCTCCACAATGTCCTTTTTATGATCTAGAAATTGCCATGCATTCTCACGGATAGTGGAATGTTTCCCCGTTACATTTTCTACGGTTTGGAATTTAGATTTTTCATCTCTTAGACTGGGTACTTACTCAAGACAAAAAGCATTGTTTACCTTGTTATTTAACCCAAAACAGAAGAAGCAGAATTTATGCTTTTCTAAAGAATATTTTTGTGAAAGTAAACGCCATAGAATCGGCCGGAATTTGAACTCAGCTTACCGATTTCACGTTCCTGTTGATAATAGTAACACTACCACGCTTCCACTTTTCCTTGTCAACTAAAACATTTAAAAATGGATTTTTGTTTTCAAAATCTACTAAAATATCAGTCGCCTACCTTTGTTCTTTTCTCTTTCGCTATGAGAGGATTTTCCAACATACTTTTAGCCATGATCGAGGATGATTTTATTTTGTTACTTTCCTCAGATATAAAACAATCCATACATTCAGTTAAAAGTAAAAGTAAAATCATTCTTGATAATTAGCTAAAAGTAACGTCGAAAGCGCGCGGACATACAGAAGATTCGTTTTTTTCTTTTTTTTTCTTTTTTTTCTTTTTTTTACCGCATATCAACCTC